GAGTCTGGGATCATGACCTGAGCCGAAGGCCCACGCTTAATGACTGAGCCACACAGGCGCCCCTCAAAGAACCCATTTTTTAATTGAGTTTTGTTTTTTAAAGATTTTAAGTAATCTCTACACCCAACCTGGAGCTCGAACCCACAATCCCAAGACCATGAGTCTCATGCCCCCACACTGAGCAAGCCAGATGCCCCTAATTGAGTTGTTTTCTGATTCTTGAGAATTAGAGTTCTTTATATTTTGGATGCCAACCCTTTATCAGATACTTGCTTTGCAAAATTTCCTCCTACTCTGTGGATTATCTTTTCATTCTTCCGTCTTTCACAGCGCAGATATTTTTCATTTTAACAAAGTTCAATTTATCATTTTCTTTTTCTTTCATATATCATGCTTTTGGTGTCGTCAAAAAAAGTCATTGCCAAACCCAAGATCACCTATATTTTCTGTGTTACCTTCTAGGAGTTTTATAGTTTTGTATTTTACATTTAGATCTAAGTTTCCAAGTATGTGGTTATTTTTGTTATGGATTTCTAACCTAAATGTAGTCATAGAACTCTGTGTAATTTCAGTCCTTTAAAATTTCTTGAAACTTGCTTTATGACCCGGGAAATGGTCAAATGTTTTAATATTCTGTGTGTTCTTGAAAAGAACGTATATGCTTAAATTGTTGCAGTGTCCTTGTTAAGCTGTTGTTCAGATCTTCCACACTTCCATAGATTTTTATCTACTTTTACACTTTCATGTAGCAAATGAGAGTTAAAGTGTCATATGCTATGATTTTGGATTTATTTCTTCTATTTCTCCCAAATTTTGTTTTATATATATTGAGACCACATTATTGGGAGGAAATAGATATATGGAATTGTTACATCTTCCTGGTTCAATAAACCTTCCATCATTATCTAGGCTCTCTCTATCCCTAGTCATACCTTTTATCTTAAGGACTATTTTGTCAAATACTGACATAGCTCCATGTATTGACTATTGTGATGTTCTGCCCAGATCCTCCCTCAGGACTGAAGGACAGTTCCCTTAGCTGCCCCAAGTGCTGTCCCATGACAGCCTTTACCTGTCAGCCCTCTGCAGGAATTGTCCTCCGCTGAAGAGAGCCGCTTCGCCCAAGGCCATTTCCCGTCCCCGGGGACAGCCTGCACCCTGCGACCAGTCAGAGCAGGTTACAGAGGTCCCGGGCCGAGCCTCCCTCTCTCCCCGCTGTCCTCTGGGACGCCCACCTGAACCTCGGCATTCTCCCGCTCTCTGCTCTACACCCTTCCATGTGGCTCTACCTTCTCGTTCTAGCCTCTCTTCCAGTTCACCAGCTTCTAACCTGTTCAACCTAGTTCCATAATTCCTAGTGCTGATTGGTTGGTTTTCCTGTCTTGCTTCTTAGAGTTGTTAGTAGTGTATTGCATTTTAAAGTGTGGCTTTATCTCTCTAAAAATGGTAATGATGACTGATGTAGCTAATGATTTCAATATTCAGAGTCTCTGTATCTGTTTTTTTCTGTATCACTGATGCTGTGTCTCAAAGTGTTTGCTAATTTGCTGAACCTTTTGAGAATTTGTGTTTGGAAATAACACAACTAAGATAATGCTACCTTCCTTCACAGTAAGGTTTAACTTCCTTTTGTCCGGTCCGGAGTGTGCTAGAAGCCCAAAGGGCAAAGCTTGAGGTCCTCCAAGCTCATAGCCTCACCCCAAAGCAAGCCCTTCGGGGATTCAATCCACAAGGGTGATTACCAGAGGCACTAAACTCGGCCCTGCATTATTTAGTACTCATATCCCCTCAAGTAGCTCTACCTCTGCTGCTTTCTAAAGCCCAGGGAAAATGTAGCAGCAAAGAGGGGAATGTTATCTTGCTAGTTCCAGAGAAGGTACGCTCATCTCCTTCCTCTTGCATCATTACCTTGAGCAAAAATCCAATAAAAGATTGGTGTTTCCTACCACATGGCTGTATTTTAGTAAATACAAGACACAGGGAAACTAAGTAGCATTTTAAGGTTTACAGTAGTGTTGAGGGCAGAACTTTAAGATGATCCCCATTATTGCCGCACCTCCCGGCCGGCCCGGTATTACACCTGTGATTATATTATATTGCATGGTAAAGGAATTTTGTGGATCTAATTAAGGTCACAAATCAGTTGATTTTGAGTTAGTCATAAGGGTGATTATCCTGTAGGCATAATGTAATTACATGAATTCCTTAAAAGCAGAGTTTTCTCCAGCTGGTAGCATAAGATGGAGTCAGATTCCAAGTGTGAGAAAGATTCAACATGCCCCTGGTGCCTTGAAGATGAAGGAACCCATGGCAAGGAATATGAACAGGTTCAGGAAGCTGTGAGCACCCCACACCCCTGGCAGCCAGCAAGGAAGCAGGGACGTTGGTCCCACAACCACAAGGACCTGAATTCTGACAACAACAGGTGTGAGCATGAAAGAAGATACCACGCTCTGGCTGAGCAAGCAGCCAGCTAACACCTTGGCGTCACCTTATGAGACCGAGACTCTAAGCAGAGAACCCACTGTGCCGTATTGGCCTTCTTCACCTGGAACTGTGAGATAATAAATGGATGTTGGTTTAAGCCATTAAATTTGTGGTAATTTGTTAGGCATTAAGAGAAAACTAACACAGGAGTTTTTGCCTTCCACCAAGATTCACAGGGTGGTGGAATTTCACAAGCACAAAGGTTCGGATACTACAGTTAGGGAACCACCAACTATTTAAGATAAGCTCTTCTGTCGTGCAGTTTTGTGGAAACTATAAGAAACATCAGGGCCCAGCTCTTAAAATTGCTCCAGCTTTCTAGGGCAGCTGATGCCAACATGTACCCAACAGGGAAAGATCAGTGCCCTTTAATGTTAGCTGTAGATCCCTTCTAAGTAGAACTCCGAGTTGACCAAAAATTCAGCAAATTATATACTTAAATGAATACATGCTATAGTGAATTAAATCACACAAATACAAAAGAGCAAGTATATACAAAATCTTTATAAATTCACTTCACCAAAAGTATACAAGCAGTATCAATTTGTTGACAAAATGAGTATTTTTGTTCTCCACAGGTCACTGAAGTCATTGTACAGTTCTGAGAAGCTATTTGTAGAAACTGTCCTATAAAAATGAAAATTCACGGTGGAAATGAAACTATGTTACACACCCGCTGTATAACCACATGACCTGGTAACAGTACTAACCTGCTTGCTAAATGAGACTTTGATTTATAAAATGCATGTATTTCCCAGCCTTTAACATCTCTACTTATAAATTAATTCACAGGATTCATACAATTGCTTTTTAGCTTCAAATGGATATTAGCAAAAATAACACAGAATGATCCCTTTGCAAGCAACACATTTATGTTCCTTCCTAAATGCAAACATCACATGAGATTAATTACTATTTCTTAACCTCTCCTCTAAAAGGCCTGTGACATGAAAGAGGAGATCAACACCTTGTTTTACCAACCTGGAGAAATCTCCTGCTGCGTCCACTGCTATTACTTCATTGACTGGCCCAAAGCTCAAAGACCTCAGGGCCTGGCATGTCTCTGACACCCAGAAATGTCTGCATAAGTCAAGGAGAGCGAGCCAGGGACGAGAAGGCCCCGGGCGTACCACACTGGCTCACGGCTGAGTTGGCAGGATGCAGGGTGTGTGAGGCAAGCATACTTAGCTCCCACCCTGGGCTTCGGCTTTGCTCACTTGGCTCAGGATTTGGGTACCTGGTTGGCAAGCAGTAGGTGGGATATGTCACACACAGATGTGTGTCCTTGAATATCAATGTACGCTTTGCCAGGTCTTACCCCTCTACCGAAGAAGATGGAATAGAGAGAAGCCTAGCTGCCCGTACAAATCATTTTTCCCCTCTGTCTTCCAAACCCTCATTCCCTCTCTAGGAAACGAACTACTAAAATCCTTTCTCCTTGCCCCAGGGGAAGAAATGAAGTTCTGCAGGCACCCAGGTTTAAGAGATCCTCCAGATCCAGCAAGCAAGACCTTCAGTACATATAAAATGGATTCCCGTTAAGACCAAAGTGTTATGTTTCAGTTAGGTGCCCATGCTGGCATCTTGATACCAAGGTAGGGCCTAATTTTACCTTGAGAGTGTGTTTCAGCCAATTTCCTGTTTAGAAACAGGAGTAGGAATAGTCAAAAATCTTTATTAAAGAAATTATAAGACGCAAGATTATTAAAGGCAAAGCAGCCTCATGTCAGTTTATCAGCTCATTTGGGAACATTAATCCTATGTTCTGGATTTTTTCACTTATGTGAACCATCTAAATTCTATCTTATTTGAGTAGCCTGAGTAGGGTTTTATTAGGCTCTACTTATCGGAGACCAATATCGGGTCAGATGGGTTTAAAAAGAAAATCTCTAAAGTAAGCGTCTCTCCTACCAATGAGGAAAGAAGTGGCAAAAATTCAAGTGTCAATTTCCCTTTCTTGGGAAGAGGTTTAGAATAACTCAACAGCTCCCCTTTTGAGCTCTACCAGTTCCTCGTGAAATGCTCATAGCATTAGAATCAGATCTAAAATGTAAGAGGCAGAAAAAATATTTACAGAACTGGGCGTTCCTTAAACAAAGAGACTCTTGCCAAGACTGGGAGAACCATACAAAGGAAATGTTAAAAGGGACAGTAACATTCTTGGCAAAGTAGGAAAGAGAAAACCAGGGTACAGCCCCCAACATCCATTTTCCATGCCAGAAAAGGGTGAGCCCGGCCGGAGCTTCGGCCACCAGGACCCTGCAGTAGACTCTCCGTGGGCCTCAAGGAGGCTGCAGGTGGACGGTGTGCACACACTGAGCCTTTCGAACTCAGTGTATCCGGTAGCTGTTCTCCCGAGAGAGCAGAACCACCTGGCAAGCATAAAGGCAAGCGCTGTCACTCTTCCAATGAATCAGGCTGTGTTAAAATGAACAACAAAGCCGGCCCAGAACCAACCACCGGCCAGGATGTCGAGCCAATCTCGCGGTCGTGGAAGGCCGTTGGGGTGGGGGCTACACGTTGGTTTCCAGTCCTAGCAAGCGTCCCATTCTCTCCACGTTCTTGTCAATTGTAGCCTGACAGGTTATCTCCTTGGCACATTCCATAGGAAACCAGCCCCTCTCTCCGTCTCGCAGCCGTTCCCCCTCATACCAGCCTGCAAACGAGAGCAGAGTCCTCCTGAAGCAACAGGGGTGTGGAGGAACCGGGACCCTGCCTGGCTCCGGGGAGGATGTCAGCGAACCTCAGAGGCGGCATCCCACCCCAGCTTGTGCGTGACGGACGAGGGAAGGCGACAAGACAGGCGCGCAGCAGGAAGGGCCTCAAGAAGGAATGGATGACACAGAGGAGGTGGGACACCCCCAGGGGCCCTGAAGGGAGAAGGCTCAAAAGAGCCTGGGAGTTGGGCCAGGCTGGGGGAGGGGATGCTGTACACAGACAGGGGCATCAGGAAACTGATTTTTTTTTTTTTTTTTTTTAAAGTGAAGAAGGAAGAACCTCTGGAGATGAGCACTAAGTCACTGGGGGACTAGGAAGGAAGGAAGGGAAACTATTCAAGGTTGCTTTTGAATAATATACCATGTGATTGCATTCTTATTCCAAAACATTAAAAGCAATAGTGTTGACAGAGGAAAGGCAGGTGCATATGAAAAAACCAAAGGGATATGGAATATGAGCATTAAAAACAAAATGAGACTCCTCCGTTCTATGGCACCCCGAAAGCTGCGTTGGGCGTGCCCCTAAAAACCCCAACTCACCATCGCTGACCCGCTGATAGATGAGAACCACGTCCGCCACCTGCAGGGACAGTTCATCTGGCTGCTTGGCAGTGAACGATCTAATGATTTCCACCTGGGTCAGTGCTGCAAGGGAAAGGGGCGGGGGGAGACACACTGAGCTCCCGGTAGCAGAGGAGAACCAGAACAGATACAAATCAAATACATTTACTCAGTCTTTCTGTGCAATTCAAGGCCGGCACTGACAGAAACAAGCGTCTCTCAGGCAGAAACTCTGTTCCAGGAACTGTCTTATTTGGCTAAGAGCTTTAGAACTTTAGAAGCTCAGGATCCAGAGAGGCCTTTTGTGATGCACGAATCCCCTCAAAAATAGCCATGACAAGCTGTACACAATATAGCCGACAACAGCCATTGTGCATTAGGGAAACTGAGGCCAGACAGATCAGGTAATGTGCCAAGGCCACACAACTGACAACATCCGCAGTATACCCACTCTCCCCACTCCCATCCAGGGGGCCTCCCCAGCCCACCAGCACACGAAAGCTGCCAAAGACATTCAGAAATAAAAGGAGCTCCAACCAAAAGTTAGACAACATTTTAGAGTTCCCCCAAAACGCTGAATCATTAACAAAAGGATTATAACTTCAGTGACTTGGTACTGACTGAGTTCCTAATTTGTTTTTTAATAATATAAAATTTGATTCTAGGCAACTTTCAAACCAATCACTTTAGCGTTGGCTCTAAGCTTAAAGCTATGATTTTTGAGTGCTCCAAGATCACCAATTTTGCTGCCCTGGTTCTTTCGATTTGACCTTCCAGCTAGAAATACCCAGAGAAGCCTAACATCAAAGTTAAGGGGCTAATAAGCACAGGACACCATCCTTTACTGCATCCATTCCTAATGCCCTAGAAGAATAAAATACATTTTCTTCATATTAGCACTTTAATAAATAAGGTCAAAAGGAATGGTAAAGTAATTTTTCTTTAAGGTTAAAAAATAACATTTCAGGGGCGCCTGGGTGGCTCAGTCATTGGGCATCTGTCTGCCTTCGGCTCAGGTCATGATCCCGGGGTCCTGGGATCGAGCCCCGTCGGGCTCCCTGCTCCGCGGGAAGCCTGCTTTGCCCTCTCCCACTGCCCCTGCTTGTGTTCCTGCTCTCGCTGTCTCTCTCGTCAAATAAACAAATAAAATCTTTTTTTTTTAAAGATTTTATTTATTTATTTGAGAGAGAGAGAATGAGAGACAGAGAGCACGAGAGGGAAGGGGGTCAGAGGGAGAAGCAGACTCCCTGCCGAGCAGGGAGCCCGATGCGGGACTCGATCCCGGGACTCCAGGATCATGACCTGAGCCGAAGGCAGTCGCCTAACCAACTGAGCCACCCAGGCGCCCCAACAAATAAAATCTTTAAAAAAAAGATAACATTTCAGCTGAGATCCAGACTGTCCGTATGGAGAAGACTTAAACATGCGACTCTTGCCCATTAACAACAGCTGAAAATCTAAGAGCTTTCCAGAACAAGCAGGGCTTTGAACACAGGCCGTTTAACTTAATCCTGACAATAACCCCGTATTGTATATAATGATGCAGCTGACTTGCAGATGATTAAACGGGCTCAAGAAGGCTTTGCGAGGATTTGCCACGTTTACACGACAAAGAACTACACCTTGGATTTGAATCCAGAGCCCCTGGCTTCCAAAGCAGGGATCACAGGGTTCTGCGATGCAGGGCGACAGGAAGGAACGCTTGGACAAGAATCCCACGGAGCAGGGGCTGCGGTGGATAACCATTAACAACCTAGCGTCCAGCAGGGGGCAGAGCCCCTCCACGGTCCAGTGCCGGCCGCCCTCCAGGTACTCACAGGTTCGGTCCAGAGGTTGCTTCCCGCTGCTGTGTCCCAGGGCAGTTATCCAGCGGGCCCGTTCACTCCTAAACACAGAGGGCAAATCCAACTGAGAGACTCAAGGTGCTGGGACAAAGCATGCAAAGCCGTTCCCAGAAAAATGGGAGAGATTCCCTGGAGAGTTAGGGGGCTGGCCTTTAGAACAGGGGGGTATGAGTTATTTGAAAAAGATAATCTGGGGAATCCAGGCGGAACGCTAGTTATTACTGTTAAAAAGATTCTGAATGAATTTGGCTAATTACTGATTAAATGGAATTTCTCACAGGACAGTTTAACCTTTAATAAAGAGCTGATTACACCAACACATAATCACATAAGGATATTTAGTATACTCAATCTGATTTAACATTTCAAAAAGGCAAATTTCATTTTAAAAAATTCGAGTACATCAGTCTCTCTACATTCTCTCTTCCTCCCCCTACACTCAAACCATTTCAGAAAAGATGAATCTAGACATATTTCAAGTTGTTTAGTTCCTCTTACAGCTGAGATTGCCAAACATGAGCCTTACTGAAATAAACAGAAATTCTTTGAACTTTCTCAGACTGTTCCCAAATGATTAAAAGGACTTAATGAACAGAGCCAAAAAAATTTTTAAGGAAAAACACAACTGAGACTTTTTAAATAATATTAAGCTATAATTACATGAGACAGAATAATTATTTAACTAAAGGATCAGAAGTCTCAGATAAGCATTATTCCATAATACAGTTATCCCCAGTTTTTGATTTGGAAAGTCAAGTATCAGGATTGCAATTAATTAAATAAGGCGCGCGCGCGCGCGCACACACACACACACACACACACACACACTTTAAAATCTCCTAAGGAGCACTAATTAAACCCATACTACAGGGGCACCTTCGGCTCAGGTCATGATCCCAGAGTCCTGGGCTCGAGTCCCACATCAGGCTCCCTGCTCAGCAAGGAGTCTGTTTCACCCTCTCCCTCTGCCCTACCCTCGCTCGTATTCTCTCTCTCTATTAAATAAATAAAATCTTTAAAAAAAAAAATCCATACTACATGGCAGATTCAAGCACTTGACAATCCATTATTTCATGTCATTCTCCAAAAGCCCATTTAAAGGATGAGAAGGTTGCATGGAGGTCCTGAGGCAAGCTATCCAAACCAAGGTGAGTTTTGACTCTGCACTCCGCCTTCTTAGGAAGGGACACCTTTATGTCCAGTGCTTGAAAAAAAATTTTTTTCTCCTGTAACAGCCTGTACCTAAAGGTGCTTCTCACTGTTGCCCCATCTTCACCGCCCCTCAGGTATCCATCCATCTGGGCAGAGCAGACTGCTTGCCGGCCTGGGGCATGCCACGCTGTTCCACACCCTTCCCCGCCTGCTCTTCTCACTCTCAAGCAGGACCTTCCCTCTGTTTCTACCCATTACGCTCAATCATCATCAATGAAGAACATACATAAAACACTGTGCTGATCTTAAGGGTATACAGAGGTATGAGTGGTTTCATAGGTACACCCAACACCTTCCATCCCTTTCCTGTCAATAACCGCCCACAAAGGGAACCACCACCACCTGTCTTATGCTTTATGAAAATGGAATCCTATAGTATGTCCGCTTTTGTTCAGCACGTCCACTCAATTGTGAAAACACAAGCCTCACCTCCTCCAGGTGGCCTCCCCGGATGCGGGAGCCCACAGCCCCATCCCCAACCAGTCTGACGGTCCTGCTCCCATGCACTCCTCTGCACAGCACTATCACATTGCTGGCCGGCTGGAAGCCTCACGAAGGCAGGCATCTTGTCCGTTCAGTTCACTGCGTTATCTCTAACACTGCCCGGCACATAACGGAGGCCTGTAACCATCTGTTAACCTAAGGAATCACTGTCACTCGTCACGCACTGCCTCTCATGTCCTCACTCCTCTGTTCCTCCTCCTAGGCCGTAAACGTCAGGAAGGCAGGACCTGGGTCTTGTTCTAAATAGTTATGGAGCACTTACGCGCCAGCTACAGTGCTTTTTTGTATTTTTCAAGGCCATCAAATTTAATCTTTACAACAATCTTGGAAATTAAATAGTAACATTATTATTTCCATTGTATTGTTCAGAAGATGAAGCTAATTTTGGAGGGTTAAGCACCTGCTCCCGGTGGCAGGGCTAAGTGGTGGAGTCAGCAGATAAGCCAGGTAGTCTGCGGCCTAAAAGGCAGTGCTCCCTAGCAGGTGCTCACAAAATAATGAGAGAAGTCAGGAAGGGTGGAAACCGCAGTGTGCTGAAAGACAGACTTATTTCAGAAACTGAGGCTGGGCCCCAGTCACGCCAGAGTGTCAAGGAGTAAGTAATGTGCACAACTGACGTAGACACTGATGGTACTGCTTGCTTTTAAAAACTCGACTACAGGACACAAAGGGCTTTGGGGTGGTTTTATAAGGAATGAGCACTTTATATAAAGCACAGCCTCCTTTAAAATGATCCTAAGCAAACAAATCTTTGATATCATCTCTTCGTCAGATAAGATCTATTTTTTTCTCGGGCTCACGTGGAATTTCCAAAGCACAAAGGCAACTGAACACTAAATGAGATCTGACTGGCGGAAGAACCGTTCAGCAAGAGAAACCTAGGAGGCCCGTGTGCGCCCCCGTGCGCCACACCCAACCACGTGGGACTCCTCTTGGCCTCCCCGCGCATCTCCGCGTGGCCCTGGCTCCCGTCTGCTGCCCTTCGCATCACTTCTCAGGCACAGCCCTCCTCTGGCATCCGGTGGCCCGTTTCAGGGACGGCCTGACCCTGCAGCCAGTTTCCAGAAGTCCAGATGAAACTTCTCACTCCCGCGGCACGCTGCCTGGATGCTAATGGCATCCCTTAGACACGGCGGCCCCTCACGGAGCCTCAAGAGGACAGAACAAGACACTCCTTGTTGCCCTCACTGAAAGGAGCCGCTTCTTGAAATGGCTTCAATTGAGCCGGTCCCTCCCACCCCCGCCCCCCTCACATGCCGTCAAAACCGCACAACTCCACTGCCCCCGCCCCCCCAGCCGGCCCCTGGGGGCCTCCGAGAGCCCTGCCAAGGAGCTCCTTCCCACTATGAAGCAGAAAACACTGCATCCACCCCGAAGCAGGGAGGAGACTCCCTCAACGGAAGAGGGAATTCTAAGAACAAGAAAAACCGGGGCATAGACATACCCGTTATTAAACTGAGCTAGCAAGTGCAGGGCTCCCTCGAAGACAGCTCTTTTCTCCGGGGACAGCAGGAAACAATCGACGTGAATTCGGAATCCGCCCCACTGCCAGTTCATAGACTTTCCCCTTTGCCCAAATAAAGCAAGAGAATGAGGAACAGTGCCGCTTCCGTGGACCACCATCCACAGAGCAACCCCTGCCTCTGCACGAGCCCTGTGTTAGGATGGGGTTGCAAAGTGAATAAAACAGGGTCTCTTGCTCTCTACAGCCTCCAGCGTGAAGGAGCAGAGAGGGAAGAAAACAAACACAAAATCTAACACAGGGTACGACGGGCTACGTGCAGTAGAACGTTCTACTTAAAACACCGGGCACCCAAGGAGAGACAGAGAGGACTAAGAGACATTTGACATAAGTATCTGCACGTGAGCCCTCTCCTGAGCCCTATGTTCTTCAGGCACGGCATAAAATTACGCACCCCCAGTTCCCTCCTCAGGAGTCAGCTACGGTCGCACCAGGGTCTGCCTCTTATGCAATTAAGCACAGTAGGCTTAAACTTAATTGCACAAAAGTCAAAAACACAAAGCTGGTATTCTCACTGAATACCAGGCGTCTGCTAGAAAAGAGATGTGTACTGAGAGAGCGGAGAGTGAGCTCCGAAACGAAGACGCAGGGCCACAGACAAACTGGATACTGAAGAGCCTGGGGAGCATCCATGGAGGACTTCACCACCGAAGTGGTCTTCCTGAGCTTTCAACAGGAGCCAGCAGACAGCGGCTCTTTTTTTTTTATTTTTTTCCCCAAGATTTTATTTATTTATTTGAGAGAGAGCAAAAGCGATCACAGAGGGAGAGGGATGACAGAGGAAGAGGGTGAAGGGAGAAGCAGACTTGCCGCTGAGCAGGGAGCCCGATGAGAGACTCGATCCCAGGACCTGAGCCGAAGGCAGACGCCCAACGACTGAGCCACCCAGGTGCCCCAGATGGTGGCTCTCTAACCTCCCTTGCAGCTCCCTTCCGGTGGCAGCCGGCCAACTACCTTCTGTGTTCCTTGCCACAGTCTACAAATTTGCCTATGGTTCCTTTTGAAACTCCTGTACCCATGGCCTTTGGGCAAAAGTCCTTTGAGCCTCTGTGAAGGCTGGGGTTGTGAGCATGGTGGTGGGTTTTGGTTTGTTCCCTCACACATTCAGTTCAAACAGATGAGTTCAATGAACAGATCCACGAAAGAAAACCCAAAGGGTGAAAATGATGCTAAGCAACAAAATTTAACAAAGCCGAACACACACTCAACTCACATTTAAAAAATCGAACCAAAGCAAAATAATTCCCGAGGCCCACGACAAGAGTTCTAAGATTAAGATTTTATGACATGTTACATAAGTAAAGCGACCATTTCTTGTGTGTCATATCAAATAGCTGACAAGACAGAGTCTGGCCTGGAATCTTGGAATAAATGAAAGTGGGTCAATTCCCTTTTTCCTCAATGATAAAAGACCCACACCATCGCCTGCCCTCCTGTTTCATCGGAGTTGGTGTTGAGCATCACAAAAGACCAAGCACTCTGACGGGCACTATACGATGTAAGAGATCATGCTTGGATGTGGATTCCAGATGCATCGAAGGGGAATACTACAGCCTATAATAAACACATTTCTTTTCCATATAAATTATCCTCGCTTGTGGATTTTTGCTAGAGAATGAAGGATAAGAGTATGTCAGACATACTATTTACAATTTTATTCCATCCCATTTACTTCCTGTTGTTAATTAAATCATTAACAGAAGCAGGAAGGCCACAAGACTCCCTGCAAACAATGCCCCTTTATCAGGAGGCCCAGGAACTGGTTGTCTGGACGGCTGACAAGGACCAACCACATCCGTGAGG